TTTCACAACTAAGAGTACAGAACAATTACATACAGAAAACACATTCTATACAGAGTCAGAGTGAAAAGCTGACATTAATTCTCTCACTCAGCAGTGCTGCAAAGGGATTAGAGTATTATTTATACTCATTTGTTACAAAATCATTCACCAGTACATTAGCAATAGACTGTATGTGCTTATTAAAATTTTCATTAATAAGGTGACTGATCAATATGAACTTGGTAACATTAGACCATTTTTGACCTACAAAATGAGCAATTTCAGATGGTTCAACTTAATAAAAAGATCTCAAGTTTACCAATATAATCTAACTCATCTCTGAAGAATGTGCTTTGTGCACAAATGATCTGCTTAACCAAGAACACATCTCAACTCAAGTCAGGGATAAGCTGACTGGAAAACTGGTCTGCAGAGAAAAATTAGTTCTGAGATGCTTTTTTGCTACAACAGCAGAGATAAGTAGATCCACCAGATTGCATGGTCCACAAAGCTGTACTTACTGACTATATGGCCTTTTACAAAAAAAAAAAAAAAAGTTTACAAACCCCTGACCTAGACCATGATTCTCAAAATTATAAGGAATCATAAGTCTCTTTAAGCTTTACTGTTTGTAATAAGACAATGTCTATCTTTGTTCATATGCATGTATGTATATGTATACACACATATATGTACACATACATTATATATATGTTTTATATATATATATATATAAATATATATATTTATATATATATATAAATATATATATATATATATATATATATATATAAAATATATAATTTTTAAAGATACTACCTGACTAATCTTTCATCAACTGTCCATTAATTTGGGAATGGTTTTAGTTTTGGCCAATGAGTAGATTAAGTTTATTTGCCCCCTTTCATGGATGGAGATAAACTGAAGCCCATTAAAATTATTAGGGACTACAGGGACGTTGGGTGGCTCAGTTGGTTAAGCAACTGCCTTCAAATCAGGTCATGATCCTGGAGTCCCGGGATCAAGTCCCACATCAGTCTCTGTGCTTGGTGGGGAATCTGCTTCTCCCTCTGACCCTCCCCTCATCATGATCTCTCTCTCTCTCTCTCTCATTCTCTATCAAATAAATAAATAAAATCTTTTTTTAAAAAAGATTATTAAGGACCACAGATATGAAAGACTATCCATTCACAGATTGAGAATCTGCCCTGAAACTGCCCTAAAGAATATATTCTATATAGGGCATCAGCTTCAATATTTGACTAAAATTGTGTAAAAGTTATAAACATGAATCTTTTCAAATACACAAATTAACTATTGTTTAGCCAAACATAGTTTGGTTACTGAGATACCAGAAGCATTACAGGACTAGAGTAATTGAAATTAATAAATACAAAAGGGACACCTGGGTGACTTAGTCAGTTAAGCGTCTTCCTTTGGCTCAGGTCATGATTTCCTGGTCCTGGGCTCAAGCCCTACTTGGGTCTGTCAGGCTCCCTGCTCAGTGGGGAGTCTGCTTCTCCCTTGCCTCCTGCTCTCCCCCTCAATCCCCACATGTGATCTCTTTCTCAAATAAATAAAATCTTTTTAAAAATAAGATTAATAAATACAATGGACACTAGAATTAGTGTAGAACTTAATTAGCTGAAATTTCTAAGCAGTCTCCTATGGGAGTCACTTTCGTATGTATATTAAATGCTGGCTTTATTCTAGGTCCTACAACTTGGCACTCCAATCATTAACATCAATAAGGCACTGATCTGAGAAAATTCAGTTAGAATAAATATAGAGCTGTGTTTATCTAAAATAGAAGCCAATACTTACCATTCAATCACAGACACAGAGATCCTGTACTAAGCAGGTAGGCTGCCCACAGAGAGGTTACCATCTTGACCAAATATTCTTATTTAAATACATTTTTGTTTTGTTCTGTTTTAAGATTTTATTTATTTATTTGATCAAGAGAGACACAGCAAAAGAGAGAACACAAGCAGGGGGAATGAAAGAGGGAGAAGCAGGCTTCCCCCTCAGCAGCGAGCCCAATGAGGGACTTGATCCCAGGACCCTGGGTTCACGACACAACCTGAGCTGAAGGCAGACACTTACCAAATGAGCCACCCAGGCACCCCGTAACCAAATATTCTTATAAAATGACTAGAGCTTAATAATTTTAAAAAAGATTTTTATTTATTTACTTGAGAGAAAGAGAGAGGGAGAACACAGAGAGAGAGGGAAAAGCAGACCCTTGCTGACCAGGGGGCCCAATGTGGGATTTTTCTCAGGACTCTGAGATCATGAGCTGAGCTGAAGGCAGAAGCTCAACCGACTGAGTCACCCAGGTGCCCCTTAAATCTAGATTTTTTAAAAGATTACATTTATTTGAGCTTAATCATTTTTCTAAAAGAATTCAAAATTATACAAAAGGTAAAGTCTTAGGGGAGGCTTATGATACCTATATCTAGGTGTTTCTGATAATCTTAGTATTACTACATACTAAAATAATAATTACACTTGTAGAACTCTTGACAATTTTTTAAATTGTCACACATTTCATCACCTTTGATCCTTATAATAACTCCAAAAGCTACAAATGTTAGATTTCATTATTCCAGTTTTATAGAGATCACTGAGGCTCTGTGAAATTGAGGGAAATTTCTCAAAAGAACATCTTGATACTTAACACATATCCAGGTCTTCTGACTCCACAAGCAGAGTTCTTTTCCATTTTGAAGGTGGGAAAAATTTTATTCAAGATGTCTCCTGCCTTATAGTGAGTTAAGTGAAATATACAATATTTAGTTCCTAATTTTCAGGTAACCCACTTTGAAAAACCCATAGGTTTTCAGGAACTAGCTAGGCACATAAAAATTGGTGTTGCTTATAAGAATGAAAACAAGAGAGAAAGATATTAACAAAATCAAGTTCTGATCGCAAACTACATTTGAATTTCTAGTTACAATAAAATTTATTTTTATAGAAATAGTCTATAATTTCGGTAGTCAGTGTAATTTTAGTCTGTAAAGAAGTTAAAAAAAAAAAAACAGATCACAGCTCATTTTTTCCAAAAGTAATGCTTCAAGATAATTATCTACTTATCAGACTTTCTGCTTAAGAATTTACTATAGAGGGGCGCCTGGGTGGCTCAGTGGGTTAAGCCTCTGCCTTCGGCTCAGGTCATGATCTCAGGGTCCTGGGATCGAGCCCCGCATCGGGCTCTCTGCTCAGCGGGGAGCCTGCTTCCTTCTCTCTCTCTGCCTGGCTCTCTGCCTACTTGTGATCTCTGTCTGTCAAATAAATAAATAAAATCTTTAAAAAAAAAAAAAAGAAAGAAAGAAAAAAAAAAAAGAATTTACTATAGAGGGGCGCCTGGGTGGCTCAGTGGGTTAAAGCCTCTGCCTTCAGCTCGGGTCATGATCCCAGAGTCCTGGAATCAAGCCCCGCATTGGGCTCTCTGCTCAGTGGGGAGCCTGCTTCCCCCTCTCTCTCTGCCTGCCTGTGATCTCTGTCAAGTAAATAAATAAAAAACTTAAAAAAAAAAAAAAGAATTTACTATAGAAATATAACTTATTTATATCACTTCAATCATATCATTTCATAAAGAACAGAAAAGAGCATTTAAAATAATTATTGGAAAACAAAACTTGAAAAATATTAATGGGGTCATTAAGACCATTCAAACTATAAACAATATATTAAGAGAGGCTCTGGCTGGCTCAGTCAGTAGGGAGTGTGACTCTTGATCTCAGGGTCATGAGTTCAAGACCCATATTGGGTGTAGAGATTACTTAAACAAACTTTTTTAATTAAAACATAAGAAATAATAGTAACTAAAGGGGCACCTCGCTGTCAGTGAAGCATATGACTTGATCTCAAAGTCATGAGTTCAAGCTCCACACTGGGTGTGGAGATTACTTAAAAAAAATTTTTTTTTTTTAATCTTAGTAAGTTAAAGAAAAGGAAGTAAACTACAGAAGAAGTTTTATTTTTGAAAGAATGGCTGAAAAACAAGATTTCAAATCTTTTTAATAATTTAAAGTATCAAAAACTAAATTTTTATGTTAAAAAGATATTAGAGCTAATCTCCTATGAAACTTAAGAATATTTCCAACTTCACTGCATATTTCCAGTCCTTTGCTATGCCCAACCTTCCCAAGTGCAGAGCCTCTCATATTATGAGGATCAAATGGGATAACATAAGCAAAATTGCTTTGAAAAATATAAAGTTGTGGGGTGCCTGGCTGGCTCATTTGGTAGAGCATGCAACTCTTGATCTCAGGGTTGTGAGTTCAAGCCCCACATTAAGCACAGACTTTACTTAAAGAAAAATAAAGTTGAATGCAAGTATAGGACATTCTTTTAATTATTACATACAACCTATAAATATACTTGATCTTAGCCAAAAGGCTGAGAAGCTATTACATATAGCTTCTAAATAAACAAAAATACATAGGATATACATTTTTAATTTTTTTAAAATTTCATTTATTTATTTGACAAAGAAAGAAAATAAAAGCAAGCAGAGTAGCAGGCAGAGGGGAAGGGAGAAGCAGGCTCCCCATGGAGCCAGGAGTCCGATGTGGGACTCAATCCCAGGACCCTGGGATCATGACCTGAGCTGAAGGCAGACGCTTAACAGACTGAGCCACCCAGGCGCCCTAGGATGTAAATTTTTAAAACACGAGACTCATTTATCTAACTGACTTAACTTTAAAGCTCAAGTTAAGAAATAACCTGGAAGAGGTTATTAAAAACAGAGTATTAAAAAACAGGGTACCCTGTTAAAAATGCAGATTGACCCCATGCACTTACCTGCTTTCCCTTCCCTAACCCACTAAAATAACAGTAAAAGAATAAAACAAAAATGTAAGCCATTAACTCATAAGTACAAAAAGAGGCGGTATAATGACAAGAGCAGATGAGAGACTTCAATACATTTTGGAGAGGAAGTTGTCCCCTAAGCTTTAACAGAGGAATGCTATTAAGCAATGAGTTAATTACCTTAAGAATATCGAAAGACGTACCATTTGGAAGCGGAAGAAGGATTCATTGAAGTCTGTATACAGCTGGCTGGACCCCGAGGTCCCTTTCTAATCTGTGTCACTCAATGGGGGTTGAAGAAATTGAACCAAGAACGTTCTGGACTTGGGCAAGACAACACAGCAGAAGACTCGGCCTAAAAACAAAATGATAAAGTGAAAGTCTACATACAGAACTGTTGAATGTCAAGTGATTTTCCCATTCTTTGCTCACCAGTAGCAAAGCATCCCCCCACCCCACACACACCCCTTTCCATTCCTTAGAAAAGACTGTAACATCTTTTCTCTGGAAAGAATTAAAAGCTCCGGAATAAAGGAGTATGTCATTTGGACATTATAAAAGGATGAATCTTTGCCTATTCACTGTAGAGCAGAATATGCCACTAACAAGCTCAATCATACATACAAAGCTTCTGCTTAGTTTTGCTAGTCTTCCTCTTAAATATAAATGAAAACCCAAAGATGAACAGATATCTGAGGGAAGTCTTCAGTAAGAAAGACCTCTGACACAAACCAACAAATAGAAAAAAGAAAAAAGCTGTGGGTAATTGAGAAAATATAGAAAGAAAACACAAATTAGTTACTTTGAGAGTAACTAGTACTCTCAAATAGGAATAATAAAAGAATAAGAAAGGGTTCTCTGGGTGGCACAATTGGTTGTGTCTGACTCTTGGGTTTCAGCTCAGGTTATGATCTCAGGGTTGTAAGATTAAGCCCCAAGTGGGGCTCTGAGCTCAGCATGGAATCTGCTTGAGATTCTCTCCCTCTCCTTCTGTCCCTCCCCCTGCTCACACTCTCTTTCCCTCTCTCTCAAATAAATAAATACATCTGTTTTCAAAAGAATAAGAAAGAACCCTTGTGGAAAAGATAGGATAGCTGAAAATTTTTAAAAAATTTAATAAAAAGGGGGTGCCTGGGTGGCTTAGTCCCTGGGCGTCTGCCTTCAGCTTAGGTCATGATCCCAGCATCCTGGGATCAGAGCCCGCATCAGGCTCCCTGCTCAGTGGGAAAGACTGCTTCTCCTTCTCCAGCTCCCCGCTGCTCGTGTTCCCTCTCTTGTGGTCTGTCTCTGTCAAATAAATAAATAAAATCTTTAAAAAAAATTTTAACAAGAGGGTTGAAAAATAACTGGAGGACCTAAATCTCCATCCAAATAGAGATTTATTCCAAAAATGCATCATTGTGAACTTTCAGGAAACTGGGTGTAAGAAGATCCTAGAAGTTTTAAGAGAAAAAGTAGACTATGTACAAATTATTGGGAGTCAGAAAAAGATTCCTCAAAAGTAGGAGTGTAATACGGAAGACCAATATCCAACTTGGAAGAGCAACAAAGGAAAGGCTCAGGATGACAGCTGCATAGAAAAGCAGCTCAGGGGCACATGTCTGTCTCAGTTAGTAGCACATGTAACTCTTGATCTTGGGGTTGTGAGTTTGAGCCCCATGTTGGGTGTAGAGATTAGTTAAAAATAAAATCTTAGGGAAAAAAAAAGGAGCAAGCAGCTCTAATTTAAGCAGGAAGATAGACTCTGGAAAAGAGACCTCTAGGTGGACTCCTTGGGGGGCTCAGTTGGTTAAGTGTCTGCCTTCTACTTTGGTCATGATCCCAAGGTCCTGGGATCAAGCCCCATGTGGGGTTCCTTGCTCAGTGGGGAGTCTGCCTCTCCCTCTGACCCTCTCCCTGCCTGTACTCTCTCTCATTCACTCAAATGAATAAACAAAATCTTTAAAAAAATTGATTGTTCGGTACGCCTGGATGGCTCAGTTGGTTAAGCGGCTGCCTTCGGCTCAGGTCGTGATCCCAGGGTCCTGGGATCGAGTCCCACATCGGGCTCCTTGCTCAGCAGGGAGCCTGCTTCTCCTTCTGCCTCTGCCTGCCTCTCTGTCTGCCTGTGCTCACTCTCTCTGACAAATAAATAAATAAAATCTTTAAAAAAAAATTGATTGTTCACAACAACATAAACACTAATTGGTTGTAATAAAAACAGTATTAAATCTATACTGGGGGAGGACAAGTGGTAATAGCGGTGGTGAAGTGTAGCTAATTCCTCATCTGCCATTTAAGGTAGATAATGCCTTAAATCAATAAATCAAGTATCAGCATATAGTGGTGTCTGGCTGGTACAGTCAGTAGAGGGTGTGACTCTTGATCTCAGGGCTCGAAGTTTGAGCCTCATGTTGCGTGAAGAGATTACTTAAAAATAAAATCTTTTAAAAATCTACATATAAACACAAAATTTAGAGGTGGGGGGGCATATCAGGGGAAATAGGTTGAAGGTAGGTGCCAATGGAGATCAGAACTTGAACAGGAATGGGAAGGCTGCTTTTATACATTATGATCCTTGAATATTTTACTGTTAAAGGGTCATATACAACTTTAATAATATTTAAAAAATAATTTAAAAATTTAACTTTATATAACAAATGGAACATAAGCAAATTTTGAAAAGAAATAACTAGGCAAGGTAAGATAGAAATAAGAAAATATTTTATTTTTTTTAGGATTTTACTTATTTACTTGAGAGAGCGAACACAGAGGGAGAGGGAGAGGTAAACCCCCATTGAGCAGGAGGCCCAATGCAGGACCTGATCCCAGGACCCTGGGATCATGACCCAAGTGGAAAGCAAATGTTTAGCCAACTGAGCCACCCAGAAGCCCCATTATTTTTAAATAAAATTTAATATTTTAAATTTTTAAATTATTTTTAAATTAAATTAAAGAACTCATAAGTGAAAAGACAAACACCATTTGAAAGATAAGGACAAAATAAGAATAGGCAATTCACAAAAGAACTTCAAAGATGCAATGAATACACAAAAATGTTATCTAATCTCTTTTGTAACTCAAGAAGCACAAATGTAAGAAAAGTATGTTCATCTGTTAGATGAGCAAGGATTTAAAAGGTTAACAGCTTCTGGGAAAGAGGGGGAAATGCATGCTTGTTCGCATAATTCCTTTTGCTGACCAAAACAGAACCAAAATTAGAGAAGGAAACCCCTGTGCAAAATAGCCACATCTCACAGCATTGATGCCAACACATAACTCTCAGCTACCATAAGGTTTTGCATCATATTTAAAGAGGCTGCCCAAATCTGCCATGCATCTCCTCTAATCTCAAACAGATCCAGTTTTGGCAAATTGAGTGCGTCCTAAAGAACACTTCCCCATAATCAATCACTAACTTGAAAACATGAGTCCTTAAAGGCATAGCAACCAGACTTAAGGAGAAAGCAGACAGCATTCTACTTGGTACCTATCTCCCTATCACAGCCTGGCAGAGAAGACTAGTAAAGAAGAGATCATGGTGTTTAAGGTGGGGATGTCTCTTTTCTTCTAGTTTCCGTGAGGACAGACTTTCCATAAATCTTCCTAGCGTCTTGCCCCTTTACCCCTTAAGTGAGAAACCTGACTGGTGAGTTCACCATTGGTCCACATTTTTTGACTGGGGAGAGCTAATTCATCAAAAGTCTTTAGGTAAGCATGTCTACTACAAAGATCCAAAGTATCCCTTGGGTGGGCTACTCCAGGTCTGGGCTGGGGACAGACATATGAGAAGACCACCTATACCATACATATCTTCCAACAGCTCTCTCAACAATGAAGTTGATATTTTATCTCCACCTGCCTAACTAAGCTCTTTTGACCACATCTGAATTGGTCCCAATCTCAGGAAGGAATAAAAGAGCCAAGAGGTGTCATGTACTGGGCTCCCTAAACTTACAGTTGCCATGACATTTTTTATTTTCCTCACCAGGAGCCCAAGCATGGCTGTAGAGAAACAGAAACAGTAAGCTAGTGGCCAACCTGCACAGCAGAGTAAAGCAGATCAATCAGAGATAGGTCAGCATTGCTCTGCATCTGGCGTGAATGTTTAACATATCCTGTGGGAACCTGCTTACAGAGAGCATATGACAACTGTGTTACCAAGCAGCCAGTTTAAAGAAGAGAGATCACGACAATGTGTTCAGTCTCCTGTCTCAGCCTCTAAGGCAGCTTTTCCAATGACTTATGCCATTTTTGGGCAAAGAGCAGGCCGGAACATAACTTTTCAACAATAAATAACATAAAAATGTAAGACTGCATAAAAGGAAGAGGGATCATAATGTGGAAAAGAGGGGGGAAAAAACACACATTTGAAGAACTGCTTCATAAAATAGAATTTTAAAGAAAAACCGCTTTGTATCAAATAAATAGAACATAACTCCACAAAACAGATTTTTAAAAAGAGCTGAAACAAACAAAAGATAAAAAGAAAAAAAGAAAAAATACCACAGTACTTGAAGTCATATTAGAAACAACTCCAAGTAGAAAAGATACTTCAGAAAACCAAGTTAATAATAAGGATGACAAGCCAAGGAAAATCATTCAGAATGAATATGACAAAATAAAGGTGGTTAGACTCTAACAAAGTAGTCAGAACAAAGATGATAGATTTGTAAGATAAACAACTAAAATCTAACATAAGTAATATTCTTAGAGAGACAAACAATATGGAACAGCCAAAATATTCAAGGATATAGAAGTGAACAACTGAAAGATCTTATTATATATCAGGAAAAATTAACAGGAAATGATCAAGATTTAAGATATATTATGGAATGTTGCCAAATTTTAAGGATGGAAAAAGGATGCTTTTAGGATCTAGAAGAAACAGGGTCACCTACAAATTAAATAATTTATGCTGGCCTCAGACATCTCCTCAGCAACATTAGACAATGGATACAAGTGAGTACTGTGTACAATGTGAAGTGAAAAAGAATACAACTTGGGGGCGCCTGGGTGGCTAAGTCAGTTAAGCATCTGCCTTTGGCTCAGGTCATGATCCCAGAGTCCTGGGATCAAGTTCCCAGTAGGGCTCCCTGCTCATCAGGGAGCCTGCTTCTCCTTCTCCCTCTGCTGTCCCCCCTGCTTGTGCTCTCTCTCTGTTAATACCTAAAATCTTAAAAAAGAAAGGAAGGAAGGAAGGAAAAGAAAAAGAATATGACATGGAATTTTCTACATAGGGGAATATAACTTTAATGGATATTTAACATTTCATTTAATGGATGTGTTATAATTTACTAAAATGGTATACTATTGATGGATATTTAAAGATTGTTTCTGGAATATTATTAAACCATGCTGAATAAAAAATAAGAATAAATGTATATGTATTATTTAAAATACATGCAAGTTTATCTATAGGATAAAATCCTGGAAGTATGTTGGCTGAATCAAAGGATATATGCATTTAAAATCTGTCATTTTCTTAAACTGTCCTCCATAGACATTGTACTGATTTTTATGCCCACCAGTAATGGATGAAAGTGCTTGTTCACTGGAACTCAGAATACTGTTATTAAATTTCTAATTTTTCTCAACCTTATAGATAAAAATTATTTTTATAATAATTTTTATTATTAATAATTTGGAATATCTTACCATATTTTAAAAAAGATTTATCTATTTATTTGAGAGAGAGAGAATGCGAATGCACATGAGCAGGGCGCGGGGAGGGAGGGCCAGAGAGAGAGGGAGAGAGAATCCTCAAGCCAACTCCCCAGTGAGTGTGAAGCCTGACATGGGGCTAGAACTCACAACCCTAAAGTCATGACCTGAGCCAAAACCAAGAAACAGACACTTAACTGACTGAGCCACCCAGGCAACCCTAACTTAACATAATTCATCCACTGAAGACATCATCATTTGCAAGCTACATCATCATTTTATATATCTCTATCGAAGAAAATGAGCTACAAAGTAAATGGTTGCAAGTCATCAATTTTCAAACACATAAAAATTTCAGAGGACTCTGGGATCATGACCTAAGCCCAAGGCAGACACTTAACCAACTGAGCCACCAGGCGCACCCCTCACCCCCCACCCCTCTTTAAAAAGATTTTGAGAGAGTGAGAGCTATTGAGAGAGAGAGCACAAGTGGGGAAGAGAGGGAGAAGCTTTTTTTTTTTTTATGGTTTTTTTTTTTTTTTTGGACAGACAGATCACAAGTAGGCAGAGAGGCAGGCATAGAGAGAGGGGAGGAGGAGGCAGGCTCCCTGCCGATCAGAGAGCCCGATGTGGGACTCGATCCCAGGACCCTGAGATCATGACCTGAGCTGAAGGCAGAGGATTTAACCACTGAGCCACCCAGGGACCCGGGAGAAGCATTTTCTTAAGGATTTTTTTTAATCAAGAAAGGATGGTGTATTTTGTCAAATGCTTTTTCTTCATCTATTGAGAGGATCATATGGTTCTTATCTTTTCTTTTATTAATGTGGTGTATCACATTGATTGATCTGTGGATGTTGAAATTTGTGGATATTCCTGCAGCCCAGGAACAAATCCCACTTGGTCGTGTTGAAAAGATGTGCTCTATATACACACAACGGAATAATACTCCGCCATCAAAAAGAATGAAATCTTGCCATTTGCAATGATGTGGATAGAACTAGAGTATATTATGCTAAAATGAAATAAGTCAGTCAGAGAAAGATAAATACCTTATGATTTCACTCCCATGTGGAATCTAAGAAACAAAACAGATGAGCATAGGGGAAGGGAAGGAAAAATAAGATAAAAACAGAGAGAGGGGCAAACTATAAGAGACTCTTAAATGTAGGGAACAGACTGAGGGTTGCTGGAGGAGAGGTGGGTGGGAGGATGGGGTACTTGGGTGATGGGCATTAAGGAAGGCATGTGATGTAATGAGCACTGGGTGTTACACGCAACTGATAAATCACTAAATTCTACCCCCGAAACTAATACTGCACTATATATGAACTAACTTGAATTTAAATAAAATCTTGAAAGAACAAAAAGCATAAATATGTTGATAAATACAAAGGAATTTTTAAATATTTTAAACATTACATATACACATGCATCTTTAAATTTCACTAAAAGATTACTGATTCTTTAAATTAAAAGTAATAAAAATATAGAGCACATGTAGAAGTAAAATATATAGAAGGTAAGAGCACAAAAGGCGAGAAGATGGTAATTCCAAGTATAAAGGGTAATATTCTTAAACTGTTGAGGAAGGACTAGAATGTTTGAAAATCAGCAGTGATAAATTCAAGACACATATGTAATCAATCTCTAAGATCATCAATAAAAATATAACATGAAGAGACTAAACTAAAAAGATAGAAAAAGAAATATTCTTCTAAAAACTCAGTTCACCCAAAAAGGCAGCAGGGGAAGAGAACAAAAGAATAAATGAAAAAATGGAAAAAGAAGACCAATATGCTTTATCCAAACACAGAAAAAAGTTAGAAAAATAGAAGTGGACTGTATAACACTATTAAAACACAATGATTGTTGTGAGACTAAATAAACAACTACAACCCAACAGTCTGCAGTTTATAAAAAACACACTTTAAGCATAAACACACAGATGAGTTAAGAGGAAAAAGATGGCAAGAGGCAAACATTAAGCTTGTATTAATGTCCATCAGAACAGGCATCCATGTAAAAAGTATTTTCAGGGATAAAATGGACATTTCATAATGATAAAAGGGTCAATTTGGCAAAAAGACACAGCTATCTTTAAAGTGTATGTGACTAACAATACTACCAAATCCAAGGTAAAGTCTGACATAACTGAACGGAGAAACAGACAAATCTATAATCATAATTAGAGACTTGAGACTTAACACTTCACCCAGAGTAACTGACAGAATAAGGAGACATTAAAAATGTGAATATACAAGGTTTGAGCAACACTCTCAACCAGCTTCGCCTAACTGACATTTAGGCCACTCCACCAACCACCAGTAGAAAACACATTTTTCCCTGAGGGTAACTGGAACATTTCAATACCTTTAAATTTATTGAGGTTTTTTTTTTTTTTCTTCTTGCCTAACCTATTACAGACCATAGGTTTGTATATGTTTTCTGACCACAACATCACTAATTTAGGAATCAACAGCAACAATATACCTTAAAAATTCTAAAATATTTAGAAATAAGGTAACACGCCTAAATAAATAATGGATCAAAGAAATCACAGAGAGATTTTGAAGTATCTTTAAGTGATAATGAAAACATTCCAAACTTGTAGGATTTCGTTAAAGCAAGCTTAGAGGAAAACTTAACAGCTTTAAATGCTTATATAAAAGGAACAAAGGTATAAAATCAATTATTTCTTTCCACCTTAATGAGTTAGAAAAAGAGGAGCAAATTAAACCCAAAATAAAACAGAATGAAAGTAAGAGTAGAAATCTGTGAAATAGAAAACAGACATATACAGAAAATCAACAAAGTCAAAAATTTTAGTTGTAGGACATAGCACACATGAAATCACAAAGTCGGACAGTGTCAACAAAACAATTTATATCATCTGTTTTATATCTGATATATTTTGCTATTTGGTACTAGTTCAGTCACTGGTATAAATTTTTATTAATTACTTCATAATAAATATTTCTAATAAAAATGTGATTCCCTAGTTTTCCCACTAGTCTCATGTTGGCACCAGTCTCATATTTTCAGCCTTCCCACTTTGGACAGGCTGAGCTCTGAGCACCCATTTAACTCTAAAATTATAATGATTTGTCTGGCAATTATAATTACTTATAATTAGAGCAATGTCTTGCACACAGTTATTTCAATGGCTAGATGCACAATCATTCTGCACTATTAAATACAGAAATTTCAAAGAATATTGGTAACGCTGGGCACAGCCAAATATAAAACGAGTAAAATTTTTCATCATATAAAAAGTATATACATACCATTAGTTGTTTATTTGGCCAATACATGTGTAATTAACTCCTACTAAAGGAGGAGGCACCTGTGGCTACTCCATAAATACTGATGTTAAAACGATGAAAGTAATATCGCCTTACAGTATGTTGCCTAAGTCTAAACCAAATAAATCAATACATAAATGCTTAGAGAAAATCCAAAACCGGGGATAAATGTGATCTTCCCAATAAGCTGTTTTACAGTGACCCGCAGTTTACAGCAGGGTTTACGCTCGGTGCGTGAACATCATCTATGACATGAAAAATAATCCCACCCCCTCTGCTGGCAAACCCACAGCATCGCGGGGTGGTTGCCAGGTCGGATTTTTTCCCCTCTCCATCTTTCTCAGAGCATCAGGTATCTGACCATTGACATCATCTGGGCACCCGACCCGGTGATCCACCAGCCGGAGGGGTGCAGCGGCCGGGTTCACGGCCTCAGGCCGGAGGATCTGAGCGCGGAAGCCCGCGGAGCTCGGCCATTCCGCAGTTCGCCTCAAACCGCACATTTACTTAGGTTTTGTTTTTGCCAAACGCTTGCCACTTCCTTCTAAAGAAGACATTTCCATCACAAAATAATGACATAAAAATAAGCACAACGGGGAAAAAAGAGGTCAGCAGCGAAAGCACCTAAAGGCTGGGAACATCTGCTCTGCGGGAAGCGATCTCCACCTTCGAGAGAATCGCCCGAACAAGCCTCGGGCTCCTGCGCACGTTCGCGAGCGGGGCCCGCGGGCGGGCAGCTCCTTGCGTCCGGAGGGGCTCCAACCTCGCCGAAAACCACTCCTGGCCCGTTCTGCCCCGGGGAGCTCGGACCCGGACCCCGTCCGGGAGGGAGGCCGCAAGGGCCGGCGAGGCCCCGAGAGACCGCGTGCGCGCGTGGCGTGCACCTCCCGCCGCGCCTCCACCTCAGGGCGTCGCCACGGGAACCATGGGTTTGGCCTCCGGCCCGGTAGACCGGGGGCGGTGGGGGTGGGGGGCGCGGCCTGACCGCCGCCGGGAGGGGGGGGGGGCGGGAGGCCGCAGACTCTCACCGCGACGCTGAAGCCGCGACGAGCCGGTCCTCCGCCACCTCGGGTCGCACTTGGCTACGCGGAGGTCCGTCCCGGCACCCGTTCCCGCCGCCGCCGCCGCCCGCGAGCCCCGAGACGCTGCCGGGCCACTCCCGCAGCCCGTGCCCCTCCGCACCCGAGCGTGGAGGTGTCGGGCTCCGGCTGCGGGAGGCGGGAGATTTAAACCGCGCTGCCCTCGGCGTCTCGGTCTGGCGTCCGCGTTCTCGCCCTTTCGGGCTCTGCCCTGACCCCGCCGAGGCCCGGCTCTCGGTCCGTTTTTTGACGAACTCCGGGACCCATTCTGGTCTGTTTTTACCAAATTACAGGTGGTTAACAAACACCGAAACGGTCGGAACGTCAGAATTAAGGAACTGTGTGTGAGACCAATGAGGCATTCTCGGTTTCTTTCTCTAAGCCCAGCGCCCTCCGCCCGGGTCCCCTCCCTGCCACCTCCGAGTCCACACCGCACCCGCCAGGCCTTCCGGGGCCACCCCTACCCGGCCAGGGGCTTCGGAGCCTCAGGCATCCCTGAATCCTGGGGCGCTCCTCAGGACCAGTGCCCGCACGCGGTAACTGTTCACGTGCTGTATTTAACTCTTATCGTAAGGGTTTAAAGAGGATTAAGTTAACAGCTGTTAATAACTGACCTCAAATGCACATATACATAACCATAATTTGTGGTCATAAATGAGTCTTCAAGAGGAAAAGGCAAAATTTGAGCCTAAAAACTAAAGAATAAAAATAAGGGAATTGTTACTGGTGGAAGATAATTTAAATTCAAAGAATTTTCTTTTCAAAGGTGACTCAAAATATCTTATCACTTTACCAAAGCTTTCCAAAGTATGAATTACAACTGTGACACAGCCTACAAAGGAAAAAAGCTTACACTCCAGGTGATAACTGTAAGTCTGTAAGATCGTGAAAGATGGAGTGAGATTCTAGAATATTATTACAAAGTACTTACCTTAAAAACCTGAAAATGGTTTTAGAATAGGAAAAGGAAGAGGCTATGTATACTGGAGTTAACTTGGACTGAAAATAGTAAGAGGTCTTTTGGCCGGGATTCTAACCCTGAAATATATGGTGTTTCAAGGAATAGGTGAATACCTAAAATAATATGCAAAATTTTGGTATAGGTCTTTTAAAAGTATTTTTTGGGAAATGTAACCAAACCCAAGTTCCACTCTCCAAAGCACAGCAAAGCCAATCACTGAGACGTCATGTACAAAAGAAAAGGGTTTATTCTAGAGGCAGCCAAAGAAAAGACATAATAGGGCAAGCTTCAAATCTGCCACCTATAAGGGGAAGAGAAGTTTTTTATAACGACAGGGGTTCGGATTACATATATATTGATGAAAAGTGTGGTGAAAACTTATGGTTATTCCTGAGGAAAGATGGAGCATGCTTACTGAGCAAATGTGTAACATACAATCCTGTGCTCGTGGTGGAGACTTAAAATGAGGCAAAATTCAGCCCCTGCTGTCAGACATCTTAAGACAAGGAAAGGGACTATGGGTTTTCTCCAAGAAAGCCGGGATAAACTGGAGGGGCTCTTGGGCTCATTATCTAGGGTAAGGAAAATAGGGCCTTGCTGTTCATAGGCTGGAACCATATCAATGACTTCTAGCCTAGGTCTCCCTAATTAATTTGTCAACGGGGTCTGTAAACACACAACAGCTGATTAGGGAGAAACAGGTCTCTGAAAAACAAGTTTTAGTTTTCTGAATTTCAACCTCATTAACCCCATGGGGACAACCTCAGAAAGAGTCCACAGCTTTCCTGATTCTTCAAGTTCAGACCCTTAGAAAGGTAAGAATTAGCATTTGGCAGTAAGGATGACTGCTGTACTTCCTCAGATCTTTCCTGACTCACTCATGGTAAGTTTGGCATCCCTCCTAAGGACATATTTCTACTCTCAACAATTGTAATTATTTTTCTGCCTGTCTTCCTCACTGGATGTTGAGCTCCTCCAAAATAAAACGCCTATGCATTTTGGGAGCTTTACCTCTTAAACACAGAGCCTAATACATACTGCATTCTGAATGAGTTTATTCAATCAGTAAGTGAACAGAAGCAAAGACAGCTAACTGACAACTGATGGATACTGTATAAAATGTCTAAAAAGAGTTGAACACCTTTCTTCCCAAAGAATAAATTATTCTAATATGATAAGAAAATGACTTTCAGAATGTTACTATGCACATGTTAAGTTTCTTGGGGGTATTTTAGAAAATGCTTCTTCCAAAAGGATGAACTTTTGTTTTTTTAAATATTTTATTCGTCCATTTGACAGAGGGAGACAGCACAAGCAGGCAGAGCTGCAGAGGGAGAGAAGCAGGCTCCAGTGAGCTGGGAGCCCGATGAGGGGCTCCATGTGGGGCTTGATCCCCGGACCATGGGATCACCACTCACGTCAAAGGCAGAGGCCCAACTGACTGCAAGTGCCCTCGACAGGATGAAGTTTAACTCAAGAAGATACTAACCTTCAGCTCAATCTCAAGCAGAGAAAAGTCCTCCAAGAAATATACCAGAAGTTGTAGTGACTACGGTCAAGGCCTGTCGGTTTTGTTCACCTTTTGGAGAAAATTACTGGGAGATACACAATGTCTCCAAGCCACCATAAAATGAAGCATTTATACATAATTACATTCCCTTCACAGGTCACACAGAAAGGTGGGCAAGTGGTAGCAGAGTATAAGAATGGCTTCTGCAAACAAGGTCGAGCTACTGACACTCCTGGGCAGGAATCGGGTTTTCTTAATCAGGTATTTGATATATGTTTGTAGAATGAGTTAATGATCTTGTTAGCTGTTGGATTGATAAGAAAATACTTGGGGGCACCTGGGTGGCTCAGTCGTTAAGCGGCTGCCTTCGGCTCAGGTCATGATCCCAGGGTCCTAGGATCAAGCCCCACATTGGGCTCCCTGCTTGGCAGGAAGTCTGTTTCTCCCTCTCCCACTCCCCATGCTTGTGTTCCCTCTCTGTCAAATAAATAAATAAAATCTTTAAAAAAAATACTTAAATGCCTTGTACTAGTCCCTTAACATATAATGAGGCACCCAGAGTACTTAAAATTTAGTGTTTCATAAATAAGCTTTTTTAGGAAACAAAAGAATTAACACTATTAAAATGCTTTTATATGGGAGGATATAATTTCATCTGGAAGTGCAAATATTTATAGAAGTGTTAATTTAATTTTTTTTTTTTTAAGATTTTACTTATTGAGAGAGCACAAGCAGGGGGAGAGGCAGAGGGAGAGGGAGAAGGAAAAGGAGAAGCAGACTCCCCACTGAGCCAGGAGCCGGGCACGGGGCTCCACCCCAGGACCTGGACATCATGACCTAAGCCGAAGGCAGATGTTTAACCATGTGAGCCACGCAGGTGCCCCTATTTAATTTTCTATCAACAGGTTTATCCTAATATAAAGTGTTTTCCTCCAATGTAGGCTTCTACAGGTAAACTAGAAAAAACAATTAGATGACTTGGAATGTGGGGCTTCACAAATTTGGGACCCAGAGCAATAAGCAGCAATGATCTTTTGCACTATCAAGCAAAGCTCTTGTTAATCTACAAATAAAACTTCAATTGATATTAAAACACATATCATGAATTCCACACTTTTGTATTTTCTCTTATTAAAGACTAGGGATCTACTGAATCAGATGTCATGGAAATAGCTCCATTTCTTTAAGGTGTTCCACTTTCCTTTTAACCTGTGTGATCTTTTCAAGGAAGTCAGAAGTAACAGGTCCGTGGCAGTTAGAGAGGGTATGGAGAGCTATCTTCCCAGATGTCTACACTAGTACTTACATAGGGTAAGCTAAACATGCTCTCTACCATACAGCATTTTTGTTGATCCAGGTAAGGCTAGAATTAGAGACACTATTATTAGGATGATTTTTTTTAAAGATTTTATTTATTTATTTGACAGACAGAGATCACAAGTAGGCAGAGAAGCAGGCAGAGAGAGAAGCAGCAGCAGGATCCCTGCTAAGCAGAGAGCCCGATGTGGGGCTCGATCCCAGGACTCTGGGATCATGACGTGAGCTGAAGGCAGGGGCTTTAACCCACTGAGCCACCCAGGCGCCCCAGGATGATTTTTTAAAATGTGAAATGTTATAAACCTATGAGAAAAAGTATTTCCTCCCCCTAAAACCACCACTGAGCTGAATTTGGTATTAGTAATTCCCCAGCATGTTGTCTATACTTTTACTATCCATATAATTGTTTGATGTTGCTCACCTTCTCAGATTGTACCTAACAAAATCCTTTCTCTGTATCTCTAATTACTGAGGCATGTGTCCTATCTCCATCATTAATTGGCTATACTCCTTAATTGGCTATAGATATTTCTACAGTTACCTTTTCCTCATATATAATTCCCATATGAAAAGAAATGGGTCTTTAAAGAACACTGTATGTTATTATGTTAATACACTTAGTAGTACACTAAAATTGAAAATAATTTTAAACCCCAAAACATGCAAAGCTGAACATAACATTATGGTAATTTGGTAACAATGAATGTCACTTAGATTTATATATAACCTTTCTCTTAAGTAGGTGAAAACATCTTCAAACTTGTTCTTCACTTATAAAAATATCATTCTTATGACTGACTTAAGAATTGGCAGAATATATATGTAGTAGTTAAGAGCTTGAGCACTAAACTCAGATACATCCAAATTCAAATCCTGACTTATTTACTAGCTACATGAAATCCGGTCAAGTAACTTGACCCCTCTAACACATATGTTCCGCCTTTAAAATAAAGATCACTTCGTCATTTTAATGTCAAAGGATTGCTATGGCAGGATACAGGTGGATTTGGGTGTTTTTTTGGGTTTTTGTTTGTTTGCCATTTTAATAGACACTGCCAGAAAATAATTTACTTCTTCAGATCTGTGAATATCAGTGGATATTGTAACAAAGATAGCCTACCTAACCCTATTAAGCAACTCCCCTCAAAATCCTAAATTACATTAAAGACCTATCTAGCTTAAAATCAAAACCACAAGAAACTGGGACTCCTGGGTGGGTCATTTGGTTAAGTGTCTGCATTAGGCTTGGGTCCTGATCTTGGGATCAGGTCCTGCATCCGGCTCCCTGCTCAGTGGGGAGCCTGCTTCACCCTCAGCCTGCTGCTCTCCCTGCTTGTGCTCTCTCTGACAAACAAATAAATAAAATCTTAAAAAAAAAAAAAAGCAAACAGAAGAAACAGCAAGTGTTGGCAAGGATGTGGAGAAAAAGAAACCCTCTGCACGTTGTGAGAATGCAAACTTGTGCAGTTACTGTGGAAATGTTACATGGTATGGAGGTCCCTCAAAAAGTTCAAAATAGAACTACCCTAAAATTCAGTAATCACACTACTGGCATTTACCCCTAAAATACAAAAACCCTAATTCAAAGGGATACATGCACCCCTCTTTGTTGCAGCATTATTTACAACAGCCAAACTACGGAAACAGCCCAAGTGTGCATCAATAGATGAACCGATAAAGACGATGTGGCATATATACACACAATGGATTACTTAGCCATAAAAAATGAAATCTCACCATTTGCAACAACATGGATGGAAATAGAGAATAATGTTAAGTGAAATAAGTCAGAGAACGACAAGTTCTATATGATTTCACTCATGTGAATTTAAGAACACAACAAAGGGAAAAGACAAACCAAGAAACAGCCTTGTAACTGTACTGAACAAACTAACGGTTACCAGAGGGGTATGAGAAATAGGTGATAGGGATTAAGGAGCACACTTGCTATGATGAGCCCTGGGTGACGTAAGGAATCGTCCAATCACTATATTATGCAAGAGAAACTAATATCACACATTATGTTAACTATATCAGCATTTAAATGAATCTTAAAGGGGCACCTGGGTGGCTCAGTGTGTTAAAGCTTTGCCTTCGGCTTGAATCATGACCCCAGAGTCCTGGGATCGAGTCCTGCATCGGGTTCTCTGCTCAGCAGGGAGCCTGCTTCCTCCTCTCTGCCTACTTGTGATCTCTGTCTGTCAAATAAATTTTTAAAAAATCTTTAAATGAATCTTAAAAAGGAAAAAAAGATGAATTTAGTTATGTAACAAAATGCTAATTAACAGGTTTTTTAAATAGCTCAAACCCCCATCCTATACCTCTTCTTAGTGTTTGATACTATAAGTCTATGATAGTCTAAAACTCTCAGTATTAAAATAAAGTTCCTTTTATTAGCGGTTTCTCATTAGCAAAATTTGATTTTACCTTTTGAAACCTGATTCCAATTAGTGGCTTTTTAAGTAAAATAAATAATTGAATATTGCTTGCATATGCAGAGTCTCAAATGTTTTTTTTTTTTCCTTAAGTTATAGTATAAAAATTATTTCTCCTTATATTTGCTTTATATAAGCAAATGATTTTTCAAGATTAGAATACAGCAGGATTTTTGTGGAAAGTCTTCCCCCCCCCCCAAAGATTTTATTTATTTGACAAAGAGACAGTGAGAGAGGGAACACAAACATGGCGAGTGGAAGAGGGAGAAGCAGGCTTCCCACCAAGCAGGGAGCCGGATGTGGGACTCTATCCCAGGACCCTGGGATCATGACACGAGCCAAAGGCAGATGCTTAATGACTGAGCCACCCAGGCGCCCCTGTGAAAAGATTTTAATGTTATAATCAGAAATTCCCAGATAGTATTTGGTTTGCAGGGTTGCAGTTCAATTATGCAATTATGTGTATATAAATGTAAACTTTCATTTGTTCTTTTCCCAATAATGATAGGAAGCACTTTGATATATTATTATGCATCAATGACAACAGTTTCAAAATGGCCAATCGAAATTCAAAGCACAAAGCAAATATTGGTCATCTATGCATAGAAAATCTATTATGTTTTTTCTGCACTCTATGTAGAATTAAAAATCTTACGTAACTCAAGTTTCTACCCTAATAATCTCTAGGTAATTGTCACAGCCAGGTGACAAAGAAAGAGTTTCTTAAAACTTTGCTAGATGAGGTAAGAGCAAGTATCAACATGTTTAGGAATGTCAAAATTTATGGCAAGATAGCATGAATAAACTTGTACCAGTCAGCAGGTCCTGAGTACTGCACTGCCTTGTTCCTAACTTTGCCCAGTACTAGGAAAGTAGCCACACTCATTTCTCCACAAGAATCTCAGGAACAGATAAGTCTATGTAAAGCCCTTGTCTCTGCTTAACTAAAAAAGAGGAAAATGAACCACAGAAAGGGGGAAGATTCCTACTTTTGAGGAAAAGGTGGAGTATGGGGGTAGGACAGCAATATGTTGTAAGAGCACGGAGTCTTCTAGGCTTCAGTTGGCCTCTCATATTTTTCCTGTTTGAGGAGAAAGATCTAACCATCTGAGTTATACAAGAAGAGAAATCTGGCAGAGATTGATCCCAGACACTGGATCACTAATGTTACACCCATCATTCCAAGGGAGAATGCATGAACCAAGAATGCACCCTCCTTGCAATCAGGATTGAGAAATAAGTGAGGGACCAATACTTGACCAATACCACTTCCTTCTTTGTCTACTACATCTAATAAACAAGCCTCTTTACGTTTGCTTCAGCTACCTAGTGTATGCATACAACTGAAAAGCCTAGACTGGGTGAGTCAAGAAAAACATTTAGGTAACTCTGACAAAGGGTCATTCAGAAAACATTCAAAACAAGAATATAAATTCTTCTTTGTCCTATAAAACTTAGACTTCCAGACACTACAGATAGGATGAAATTTATACCAATCTGCACTAAGTGAGAAAAACACACTGGTATATTTTCTTGCTAACTTGATATTCACTTTTTTTTTTTTTTTTTTTTTTTTTTTTTAAGATTTATTGGAGAGAGAGCCAAGAGAGGGAGAGAAAGCACCAAGGGAGAGGGAAAAGCAGACTCTCTGCTGAGCGGAGAGCCTGATGCAGGGCTTTATCCTAAGACCCACCCCCCATGACCTGACACTTAACTGACTGAGCTACCCAGGCACCCCTGGTTTTTTGGCCTTTCTTTTAAGAAATGATATAGTAACTGTGGCTCTAACTCTTATGTGAAGATGAGGATCATATTCTAAGGATAGACGGAGCCTGGGTCCCTAAAAGTGTGGAAGGAAACCATTCTCTCAGCCCTGGTCTGCCTCTGGATTTCATCTTAGAGGAGAACTAAACTCCTAACTGGTTTAATCCACTGTTAATTTGGCTCTCAATTGTAGCCAAGTGTATGTATTACTTCCTAGAGCTCTGTGATAGGAACATTTTTATGAGATACACTGCATTACAGTCTGTAATGAGACCAACCTTATTCTCCATATATTAGAGGTTGAAGTGCTCTGCTTGAGGAATACCAATCCATTAAAGATGGAAGTCACACTTTAAGAAGATACTTTAAATATTTGTTATATAACATATGCATTAAGATAAATGCTAATGATTTAAAATTTATAGAATGTTTATTATCTAATACTGACTGGAAGGTTTTATCTAAAGATTCTATTCTATGCAAGGAAAGGCTGGGGAGAAAGATTCCTGGTTACCATGAAATCTGTATGCAATTTCTAAAGGATTCTAACATTATCTTTAATACAAAGGATTCTAAT